TAAAGTCAGTGGGACCACAGTGAGATACCAGTTTACACCCGCTAGGATGGCTGTGATAGAAAAGATGGACAGTAGCAGGTACTGGCAAGGACGTGGAGGAGCGGAAATTCTCATACACTGCTGGTGGGAATTAGAACGGTGCAGCTATTTTGGAAAGCAAAGTTTGGCAGTTCTTAAGTTTAACACAGAGTTAAATATGACCCAGCAGATCTACTCTTCGGTATATATATACCCAAGGAAGTGAAAATGTACATCTGCACAAAACATGTGCATGAATATTCATAGCAGCATATTCATAATAGTCAAAAAGTGGAAACAGCTCGTGTCCATCAACTGATGAATGGAAAAATGAAATGTGACGTATCCATTCGATGCACTATTGTTCAGCAATAAAAAGAGACGGTACTGACACATGCTGCAACGTGGATAAACCTTGGAAACATTACGAAAAGATGAAAGGATCCAATCAAAGAAGACCATACTGTACGATTCCACTTACATGAAACATCCAGAGCTGGCAAATCTGTAGAGACAAGAAGTTGGTTAGTAGTTCCTCAGGGCAGTGGGGGAGGACAATTCATGGATATGGGGTTTCTTTTAAGGGGATGAAAATGTTCTAAAATTAAATTTTGATAATAGTTATATACCTGAGAATTTTTTTTTAAAAAAGCATTGAATTGTATACTAATTTAAATGGGTGAATTATAAGCTACGTGAGTTATATTTCAACAAAACTGTTTTTCAAAAGCCAAGGGAGAAATCAAAATGGAATACTAAAACCTTTTCCTCAGTTATACCCAAAGAGGAACAATGAAGCAAGCAAACAAACAGATGACACAGAGAGAAAACAAATAGCAAAATGGCAAATCTTAAAGCTAGCCAAATCAAATGTAAACGTTAGACTAAACTCTGCAACTAAAAGGCAGAGATTGTCAAACTGGATAAAAAGCATGACCCAACTAGTAAGTTGTCTCCAAGGCACACACTTTTAACACCAAGGCACTGAGGTTGAAAATAACAGGATGGGAAAAGATGAAAACAATATGCCAGGCAGACGTGAATCATTAGAGTTAGAACTGATATTTTAATAATGGACAAAAGTAGAATTCAGCCAGGGAGTATGATCAGAAATGAATAGGGGTGTTTTACAGTGATAAACCCCAGTGTGACAGGAAGGCAAAACTACAAGTGTGTATGTGCTTGATAATGCAGCTTTAAAATAGTTGAAGCATTATACTGACAAAATTGAAGGAAAAAGGATTCAAATCCACAATCATAGTTGGAGATTTTCATGTCCCTTGAGAGTAATTAATAGAACAACTAGGCCAAAAACCTATACAGATATAGATGATCTGAACAGCACTGTTACCCACCTTGACCTAATTAATATTTATAGAACACAGAGTCTTTTCACATCCCCTGGAACCTTTACCAGGATAGAGCTCTTACAGGGCCATGAGACACGTCTGAGTAAGTTTCAGAAGACTGAAGTCTAGCAGAGTATGTTCTCTGATCACAGTTGAATTAAATGAGAAATCAGTAACAATCAGATATCTGGAAAATTCCCAAAGGTTTGGAAATTAAACGGTATATTCCTGAGCAACCCACGGATGAAAAAAAATCACAAGGGAAACTGGAAACGATTTTCAAGCGAGTGATAATGAAAAGCAAACGGGTTAGCATTTGTGAGATGCAGTGAGAGCTTTGCTGAGGGGGACATTTATAGCTTTAATTGTTTACACAGGCGTGCTTTGGAGATACTGTGGGTTTGGTTCCAGACTACTGCAATAAAGTGAACACTGCAGCAAATCGGTTTCCCAGTGCATATAAAACTTATGTTTACACTATACTGTGGACGATTAAGTGTGCAAAAGTGTTATTTCTAAAAAGTACATACATACCTTAATTTTTAAATACTGTTTTTTAAAAAAAGCTAACCATCACCTGTGCCTTCAGCGAGTTGTAGTGATATCAAAGATGACTGATCACTATAACAAATATAATAATAATGAGAAAGTTTGAAATAATGTGAGAATTACTAAAACGTGACACAGAGACACAAAGCAAATCTTATTGGAAAAATGGTACCAACAGACTTGATCAACACAGGGTTGCCACAAACCTTCAGTTTGTAAAAAATGCAGTATCTGTGAAGTGCGATAAAATGAGATATGCCTGTATTAAAAGGGAGGAATGGTTAAATTTAATTTTTGTGCATTCCCAGAAGCTAGAATAATATAAGCAAAGTAAGAAAGAAAATTAAATTAAGAAAATAGCAGATAGCAGTTAAATAGAAACTAGACCACAGGGAAAGGTAACAAAGCCAAAGGATTCTTCCAAAAGGTCAATAAAATGGAAAAACCCCTAAAAAAACACAAGTTACCAATATTGGAAAAGAAGGAGTATCATCATGGATCATACCTTCATAAAAGAATACTAAGGGTATTCTTAGAACGTCTTATGCCAATAAATTTGACAACTTAGTGAAATGGAAAAATTCCTGGAAAAATACAACTTGCTCAAACTGACACAAAATGACACTAAAAATCCAAATAGCCCTGTCAGAGACTTTGTGAAAGCAACTGAATTCGTAAGAAACACAATCCTCTGAAGAAAACTCTAGGCCCAGAGATTTTGCACTAGTAAATTATATCAAAAATTTAAAAAAGAAATTCTAACAACCTTATAAGTTCTTTCAGAAAATAAAGGAAGAGACTTTTCTCAACTAATTTTGTGAGGCTAGTATAATGCTGATGCTAAAACATAGTGAAGATATTATAAAATATTAAAATAAAATCTCCTACAGATACGAAGCTCTGTAATAAAATACTAGCAGACTGAGTCCAGCAGTGTATAAAAGAATTAATACAGCAGGACCAAGTGGGTTTTACCCCAGTAATGAAATACTGGTTTTGTATTTGAAAGTAAATAAACAGAATTGCCATACTAACAGAATAAGGGGAAAAACCGTCACCTCAGTAGATGCAGGAAGAACATCTGACAAAATTCAGCGTCTATACTTGACAATACAGATCTGAAAGTAGAAGGGCGCTTCCTCAGTCTGCTGAAGGACGTCCACAAAACCCTTCCAGCTAACGTCGTTCTAAATGCGAACCACTGAGCACTTTCCTTTTCAGACTGGGAACAAGCCCGGGTAGCGACTCTCGCCACGGCTTCTCGACATTTTCCTGAATGTCTTTGCCAGTGCGGTAGATAAGAGAAAGTCAAAGGAATAAAGACTGGAAAGGAAGAAATAAAAACTTCCTATGCACAGATTGTTTATATGGTAGAAAATTCTAATGAATCAACAAAAAATTATTATCAGTAAGGAGATTTAACTTAGCATAATTTTAAGATAAAGGCCAATAAAAATATTGTTTTTACATATATATGAGATTTTAAAACCAATTATATTTCAACAATAAAATACTTAATAAATTTAACATGCACAGCTCTACACTGAAAAGTACAAAATGCTGCTCAAGAAATTAAAGATGTAAATACAAGGGGGAAGGCATAGCTCAAGTGCAGAGTGCATACCTGGCACGCACAAGGTCCTGAGTTCAATCCCCAGTACCTCCTCTGAAAACAAGTGAATAAATAAACCTAATTACCCCCACAAAGTGATGTAAATACATGAGGATGTATAATTTTCATGGATTGGAAACCTCAATGTTGTTGATACATCACTTCTTCCAAATGAATCTATGGGTATGTGCATTGCCAGTCATAATCCCAGCTGACTTATTTTGTAAATAAAACAGATCAGCTGATTTTAAGATTCTTATGAAATGCTAAGGACCTAGAATAGCCAAAACAATGAAAAAGAAGAACAAAGATGGAGGACTTATTCTCATCAAGGCTTAGTTACAAAGAGACAATGATCAGTATACCACGGTATGGGTATAAGGGTAGACACATAGATAAATGGAAATAGAGTTCCAGAAATATACACATATATACAGTCGATTAATTTTTGCTTACAGTACAAAGCAATTTAATGGAGAAAAGAAATTCTTTTCAAGAAATGGTGTTGAAACAACTGGCTATCTGAAAAAGATAATTAACCTCAATTTATGTTACACAGAAATTAATTCAGGATGAATCAGAGACCTAAGTATAAAAGTTAAAACTATAAACTCTTCAGAAGAAAATACAGGAGAATTTTTTT